TTGTGTGAAGCTATTTGAGTTTCTAAAAATTGACACACTGTTTCAGTTCAATTATGAGGACAACAATCTCCTAGTGTTTGTCTACTGCCTACTGTCTTTGCCACTCTGCTAGGTGCTGTGGTGGGGGGAGGTGATACAGACACCCACCTGCAGTGTCCACGTCATTGTGGATGAAATGAGACATTCACACGGACTACCAAGTCTGATGGAGGAAAAGGGACAACATGGCTTTTTCTCTCAAGGGGAGCAAAAACCTTGGCCCTTGCTGTGACCAGCCTTTGTTGGGTTTCTTGGCACATTACATGATGGTCCTCATTTACTATACACAGGTTTACTTTAGGTGGTTACCTTTTACAGAAAACAAAGAAGCCAATGCTGCTAATCATATCACAGAAGAGGGATATTTGCAAATGAAAAGGCAAAAGTGATTGAACTGGTTACACTCATCCTTGGAAGGTTTAGCATAGATTTTAGGAAGTTACTTTGCAGTAAATGTCCTCAGTTCAGGGTAAGGGAGTTTTTTAGCAAGAGCAAGACTCAAAGCGGCTTAGGCACATTGCAGGCCTGATTCCCCACAGGAGAACATATCCATGGGCGTGGGTCCTGTGCATCTCTGAGTGGGAGCTGGGCCCATGCCATGCAGAATGGTCTCCTACAGGGAGGAGAAAAGATTAAGACCCATCCCCTCTGTCAAAGATCTTAGTGTGGGAGACAGGACTAACAATAACAGAACAATAGAAGGCAGTATGTGATTCAGAACAAAATGAGTAGTGCAGGCCATACCTGCTATAGACATTCAGAGGAGGGACAGAGCTCCGGGAGCTGTGGGTGGGGTTTGGGAGAGTACAATTTCACTTGGGATTTGAAGGATGGCTAAGATCATTTATACATATGTGGGAGAGGGCACTGAATTTGAGTGTGTATGCATGTGCACACACATGTATGCATGCACAGATGCGGAACTGGGTACAAATAATGGGTAGTGCTTACTGAGCACTTTCTATGCACCAGATGCTACATAATATTCTACGTAATTCAACTCAAATGTGCATAATCCTAGGAATTGGATGATAATTAATAACACTTCAATTAATATATGGAAACTGAGGCACAGATAGGTTGAATAAACTGCAGCAAGTAAAAAAAGACATAAATGGAATTAGAATCCAGATCCTAAAAACACTTGGCTACTCTATCTGTGAAAAAGAATCTGTGGCTCCAGTGACGAAGTTGGCCTGGCTACAGTCATTAAAGATGGTCAATTTGCAAACACAAGGACTCTCTAGGCCAAATTCCCAACTGAAGTTCAGCATGGAAATTGGAGGGATTAATGAAGCCATTTATTCTGTTGGTCTAATCTGTTAACCTAAAATAAAAAGCCAAAGTGAGAGGCAACAAGCATTTATTTGAGATCCATAAGTATAGGTATTCAGGAAGCACTGATTCAGGCAAAAACCCAAATAGCAGTCTGAATAGAAGGTGAAAGCGAGGGGAATTTATGAGAAAGGGATGGGTAACAACTACAGGAATAGAACAAAAGCATTTCTGTAAGTTCAGGTAAGTTAACATAGTGATGTTAATTCCAAAGGTCTCTAATATTCAGTGCCATATTGATGAATGTCTGCTTTCTTGTTATCTTTGCAAACAGTTGTTTCGAATACAGTGCTGCTTTAGACTCACTTAAAGGTTAGTTTGCCCAGTTTTAACATTCCAAAAATTTGAGGAGTAAGTTGTGAAAGGAAGCTCCTCTGGGATGAAAGCTCCAACTCCTTTCTATTTTTTATTATTTAAAGATTTTATTTATTTATTTTTAGAGAGGAAGGGAGGTAGAAAGAGAGGGGCAGAAACATCAATGTGTGGTTGCCTCTCATGTGTGCCCTACTGGGGACATGGCCTGCAACACAGGCAAGTGCCCTGACCAGGGATCGAACCAGTGACCCTTTGCTTCACGGGCCAGCACTCAATCTGCTGAGCCACATCAGCCAGGGCTATTTTTATTTTATTTAAATTTATTTTTAGAAAGGGAGGGAGGGAGAAAGAAGGAGAGAAGCAGCAAAGCATGAAACACACATTGATCGGTTGCCTCTTGCAAGGCCCCAAGTGAGGACCTGGCCCGAAACCCAGATAGGTACCCCCTACTGGGCATTTTTATTTTTAAGTATATCCTAATGATTATGTTATTACAGTTATTCCATTTCCTCCCCCTTTGCTCCCTCTGCCCAGCATGCCCATTCCCTCCAGCGATCCCCTCTACCTTAGTTCATGTCCATGGGTCATGAATATAAGTTCTTTGGCGTCTCCATTTCCTATACTATTCTTAACATCCCTTCATCTATTTTGTACCTACCATTTATGCTTCTAAATCCCTGTACCTTTTCTCCCATTCTCTCCTTCCCTGCTGATAACCCTCCAAATGATTTCCATATCTATGATTCTGTTCCAGTTCTTATCATTTGCTTAGTTTGTTTTTCAGATTCAGTCATTGATACTTGTGAATTTGTTGCCATTTTATAAATTCATAGTTTTGATCTTCTTTTCCTTAAAGAAGTACCTGTAACATTTCATGTAACTATGGCTTGATGATGATAAACTCCTTTAGCTTTACCATGTCTGGGAAGCACATTATCTGCCCTTCCATTCTAAATGATAGCTTTACTGGATAGAGTAATCTAGGTTGTAGGTCCTTGCCTTTCATGACTTTGAATACTTCTTTCCAGCCCCATCTTGCCTGCGAGGTTTCTTTGGAGAAATCAGCTGATAGCTTTATGGGCACCCCTTTGTAGGTAATTCTCTCCTTTACTCTTGCTTCTTTTAAGAGTCTCTATGTTTAACCTTTGACATTTTAATTATGATGTGTCTTGGTGTGTTCCTCTTTGGGTCCAACTTGTTTAGGACTATCTGTGCTTCCTGGACTTGTATGTCTATTTCCTTCACCAAATTAGGGAAGCTTTCTTCCATTATTTTTTTCAAATAAATTTTCAATTTCTTGCTTCTCTTCTCCTTCTGGCATTCCTATGATTCAGACGTTGGCACTTTCAGAGATGTCCTAGAGTCTTCTTATACTTTTCTCATTTTTTTGAATTCTTATTTCTTTATTTTGCTCTGGTTTAATGTTTATTTCTTCCTTATGTTCTAAGTCATTGATTTGAATCTGGGTTTGCCTCCCTTCCCTGTTGGTTTCCTGCGGATTTTCTTTATTTCCCTTGATGTAACCCTCATTTATTCCCTTATGCTTTTGCCATACTCAGTGAATTCAGTGAGCATCCTGATCACCAGTGTTTTGAACTCTGCATCTAATAGGTTGGTTATCTGCATTTCATTTAGTTCTTTTTCTGGGGTTTTGTTCCGTTCTGTCATTTGGGCCATATTTCTTTGTTTACTCAATTTGGTAGTGTCCCTGTGTTTATTTTTTGTGTATCTGGTAGAACTGCTTTGATTCCCTGTCTTAGTGTACCTGTTAAGTTGTAAGGGGCAGAGCCTTAGATATTTGCCAGGGTGGGGCAAGCTGCTACACCGGTTTGTGGTGCTGTGTGAGAGAGACAGGTCAGAAAGGGGACTATGCTGTTGCCTGGCTTCTGGAGGCTTGCCTGGCACTTGCCCCACCATTTCACTTACTTGCCTATGTGACTGGCACCCTTCCAACTGTTGTCTTAGTGGTAATTCCCAGAGTAGGTGGGTTAGCATACATTTTAGGTTCCAGCGGGCCCTTTAAACAGACTTTTCTGAGTAACCAGTAGTTTCTTCTGCCACCCCAACCCTCACTGGTTTTTATAGCCAGAAGTTACGAGGCTTTATCTTCCCAACTGTGTAACCCTGGGCTGTGGTTGTGATTGCTTGCTCCCAAGGTATTCCTCCCAATTTTTATCCACCACATGTGAATATGGGAACACCCCAACTGCCACTGCTGCCACCACCTCTTTGCACCACAATGCATCCTCTCTGCCCTGGCTTCATAGCTCCATCCCTCCTGTCCATCTGGATCTATGTGGCTTCTTTTAATCCTTGGTTGTCAGGTTCCCATACAGTTCAATTTTCTGGCAGTTGTGGGTGTTTTTGTTTTGAGGTTAGTTGTGATTCCTATTGTAGTTGCATGAGGATATGAAGCATATCTACCTATGCCTTCATTTTGACCTGAAGTTCTTCCAACTCCATTTTAAAGGGGCTCCATTTATATGGTTTTTCACACCAAATTGTTACTTCCTTGAACATAGGAACTTGAGGTCTCCAGATGCTGCATGTGATTGTCAGGAGCTCTACAGCTTTATCCTTCATGTTCCTGCTTAGGTTGCAGAGGAATTAAGAAACACCTAAGGAGAATGAATGAGTAAGCCTCTGTATCAAGTCTTGGTTGTAGTTATTCTTTATTAATTAGCACTTGAAGAGCATTGGGCCTGATACAGGCTGTACAGAAGCTTGGGATTAAACAAGGCTCTTGGCTCTGAGGCTGTAATTTGTTGTGAAAACAAGACTTAGAATGGATGGGAGAACAGTGGCCTGATAATACAGTAGATAGTATTGTATATTTAGAGTGTGGCTTGCAGCCAACACCTGGAAGTGTTTCCGAGGCAAGGTGCTTAACTGTCTTTGTGACTATTGTCCTAAGTCATTGTGAGCCTTCAATAAATATTAGAGCAACATGAGATAGATTTTAAGGAAGTCCTTTTCCTATTTCCTTGTTCCAAGAAAAGCATAGCACAGCCTTTGGGTAGAAAGCAGCAGGGAAGGGAGGAACCTATTTTATCAGCTGTCTTTAGGCAGTTCTTGAGCACGCCTATAACCACATTGTACTGGTTGACATTTCAGTGTTAGGACCTCTTGCCAAGTGTAGGTTGGGAATCAGCAGTTACTTTGCAAGGAGGAGAGTGAAAGAGGTCAGGGGAAGTTTGTTTTGGTCTAGTAAGTCTCTGATTGAAGGCATAGTAGGAGAAAGGGGAGAAAGAGGGCTTGGAGAGGAAGTGGCAGGGGTGGGCTGTGAAGACTAAGGTAAAGAGAGAAAAATACCCTATTCAAGTAGGAGGAGGAAGAGCAGGGAAAAGAAGGACTAGAAGCCTCTATCTTAGGCACTAAAGTGTGAGGAGTGGGGATGTGGTTAGCAGGGTGAGAGAAGCTATCATCCTGGTCTTACACAAGTGCAGTATTCTAGGGCAAAAAGGAGGTGTCAGGAAGCAGAAGGCCAGACCCAACCAACACCCCACAGAGCAAAGCTGGGCGGGCGCTCAGCACTAGACTTCAGTGCCTCCCACCCCCGTCCGGCCCCGAGAACTTAGTCAGGGCTGGCTGAGTGCCTACAAGGTGTCCGGTGTAGAAAGAAGTGCCCTAGAGAAGCGAGTCGCAGGATGCGAAGTCAGTCAAAAGGCTTCACCGAAGAGACACCTTCAGCACAGGTAGGGGAAGGAAGGTGGATGTGCCCGCATGTAGGCTCCAAGAGTGCAGAATTATGAGGCAGGCCAGGAAGGAGGGGAAGGAGGCGGAGATTGAGCGTGGAGGAAGGAGAGGGCAGGGAGAGCCGAAAAAAGGCAGGGTGGGAGGTGTGACTGGGGGAGGAGGTGGCGGGAGCGAGGGGTCCCTAAGAGAGAAGGAGGCGAAGTGGGATAGTCTTGGCCTCCGTGCCCGGGGGAGGAGGGCTTAGTTGAACGGGAGGAGGCGGTGGAACCGAGGGGGAGGAGAGAGGGAGGGGAAGGAGGAGGAAGCTAGAGCGGCGGCTGCAGGGGGAGGAAGACAGGAGGAGGAGCCGCGCGAGGGCTGCAGCAGCAGCGGCTGTAGCCGCTGGGGAAACGAGCGCCGCGGTGCGGGGTAACGCGGGAGCCGAGAGGTGGCCCAACCCCGGGTGGCGGGCCGAGCTGCCGGTGAGTGGAACCCCAACGGATGCGGCAGCCGGTTCTTGGAGCCGGGCATGAGGTGCGGGAAGATGCGGCGCTGTGGCGGAGGAAGGAGGCCGGCCCATAGCCCAGCCCCTGGCCGGCCCGGCTTCCCTCCTTTCCTCTCACCCTCCCTCCCCTTCTCCCTGCCGGCTTCCTCCCGCCGCTGCAGCTGCTAAGGGGGCCGGTCCTGGGCGGGCTGCTGGGTGGGGGAGGTGCTGTCCCGAGGGCGGGAGCCGGAGGTGGAGCAAGGCACTCCAGGGTGTACCCAGAGGCGGGCGGCTGGACCCGCCCGACTCTAAATTGGCCGGAGGGACAAGCCGGGGGCGAAGTTGCTAGCTGGGGGCAGAGGCCGCCACGCGTTTGCAGGAGTAAGCGATTCTGTGTGACGAGAGCTTGAGAGGAGGAGTCCGGCGTCCCTGCCGTCCCCCGCCGCCCGCCCCGATTACCCGGCCCCGCTAGTTCCTCTCCTGGCCTCCGCGAGTACCCTTCCTCTCATCCCGTTACCCCCTGGTTCGGCACGGCTGGGTCCCCTCGGCCCTGAACCACTCGGCCTCCGGCTTCCCCTGACCCCTGCTTGCTTCGCCACTGTCCCGGTCCCCTTTTTCTTCCTTCGCTAGTTACCCTTCCCCGTTTCGTGATTCCCGATTCAATTGCCTCTTTGAGACCTTTTTTTTTTTTTCCTCTCCTTTTAGATTGGCCAACGGCTCATTTCAACCCTGCCTCGTTGGTGGCCACTGGAGAAACGCGGGGGGCTCCCCAGACAGCCGTGGGGACAAGTTAGAGCCAGCACTTAAGCCCAGGCCTCGAATGTAGCTTCCCCTCTCCTGCTCACGGGGGGCCCCGTGTCTGGAGTGGAGTGTGGGTGTGGGGGTGTGCCCTCTGTACTGGTTCCACCACCCGAGCAACTCCCTGAGCTTGTGTTCCATCTCATCTTGTTTCCTGCACGGTGGTTGAAGGGAACCGCTTCCTATCATGTCCCGGTATAGCTACCAAAGTCTTCTGGACTGGCTCTATGGGGGTGTGGACCCCAGCTTTGCAGGCAATGGGGGCCCCGACTGTGCTGCCTTCCTCTCTTGGCAGCAGCGGCTGCTGGAAAGTGTGGTGGTCCTGACCGTGGCCCTGTTGGAGATCCTGGTGGCCCTGCGGCACATCCTGAGGCAGACGAAGGAGGACGGTAGGGATGGCCGTGGCTGCCAGCCAGAGCAGGTGACCCAGCGGCCAGAGGAAGGCAAGGAGAGCCTGAGCAAGAATCTGCTCTTAGTAGCCCTGTGCCTGACCTTCGGGGTGGAGGTGGGCTTTAAGTTCGCCACCAAGACCGTCATCTACCTGCTCAACCCCTGTCACCTGGTCACCATGATGCATGTGAGTTTGTTGAATTTTTCCTGGGCAGCCTTACTGATAAGTCACTTGAGTGCTCAAGACACTCAGCAGTGTAGAGCACTTCATCCTTGTGGAAAGGGGGGGGCTCTTAAAATTGATTTTCCAAAGATGTGCTGTTTTTGTGCATATCTCACAATTTGCTTTCTTTCACCTCTGAACTATGCATTAGCCTCCCGCTGGAGGGGAGGAACATAGTGTCAGAGCCAGCTTGTACTTAGGCTGGCTGCCTGTCCCCTCCCAAGTCCCTGCTGGGACTTTTCACCATCAGGAAGTCCAGCCCCAGCCAGGTGCCCTTTCTGAATCACATCTGGAGAGCATGCCCTAACCCCCCTGTCCTCTGTCACAGTTAATTCCCAGATGCCTGGTGACATTTCTTTCCTGGAGGTGATCACATAATGTTTCTTGTCTCTGTTACAGGACTTTGGAGAAATACTTGTGCAGGTTTCCCTTAATTATTCTTCATTTTGGAGTTTACGCTATTAGGGTGAAGTCTGCCTTTGAATTCTGAGGGTTGGAGTAGCACAAAGCTCTAAATGCACTCTGAAACAGGCCCTAGGCTGACTCGTGAACTTTGGGTTGGTGGTTTCTATCCGTGATGAGAGAGTATTTATTATTAATATTATTTTTTTGCAAACCTTTCTATCTTATCATTCTTGTTCTGTCTCCTGTGGTCATGGTCCAGGAGCACTCAGAGACCTGATTTCTTTACCTTCCAATACCTATGCTAAGAAAAACCAGTGGAATTCAAAAGGAAAGTGCCAGATACATAAAAATAATCTGATTGAGGACCAAGAGTGAGACTGTCTTTCTGTAACTCTCTGTGTGAAGAGATATTCTAAAACTATAACATCATGAAGGAGAAGGAAGAAGAGAAAGGGAAACAAACTTTTTTAAACTTCAGGTGGTGGAAAACATGGTGTCTTTTATTCAGGGATAGTTTTGAAACTTGTAATTAGAATCTTTATTTCTTTTATATTTGTCAGTTATTCTCAGGAGACTTGTGGCAGCCCTGTGTGGGGTAGCATGTTAAGATTATTGTCTCCATTTTGCAGGTCTGGTGGGGGCCCAGGGCTAGTGAAATCACTTGTCTGTGGCCAAAAGATGAACTATCATCTGGGTATGAAAGGTAACCTACCCTCTTTGGACTTGCAAGCTGTCAGTGGAATGGCAGGGCAGCCTCTGTGGGGAGGCTGAGGCTGATCAGCATGGCAATGCCTACTTTTGGCCTGCATGCTTGCTACCTCTGTGTTCTAGGAGCTCCTTTCACTGCAGGTTCCTGGCCTCAGTTTCCCAATCTGTAAAATGTGGTAAATGGCATCAAGCCCTTCCCATTTTGTAGATGTGGCAAGAGATGCAGATAGCTTTGGAATAAGAGGCTGCTGTTAATTTGGTGGCTCTCATCATCTAGAAGGGTTGAAATGGGCAGGATTTTTTTTTTAAAGAGAGGACTTCTTGGGAAGTGATGCCATTCACAGGAAGGAAACCCAGGGTTCTCCCAGGTAGACCTTCTGTGTTAAATTTGAGCCAGTCCTCTTTCTTTCTTCTTTTATTTAAAATTTTTTTTTTATTTTTATGAATGGTCTTTTTGTTAATGAGAGGAAACAATGCATCTCAGCCGCTGCTGCATGAGGCTTTTGGGACAGGAGTGTTTTGTTTTTTTGGTTTTTTTTTTGGATGGCAGGTGGTCAGGGTCATCCCCTGGCACCTGCCACCTAGGTGGCAGGAAGAGGGTGCCTCTTCCACAAAGGGGTCTTGAGGCCCCTGGCAGCCACATGTCTAGAAGGTCAACAAAGGATTAAATTCAGCCCAACTGGGGATGCTGCTGCTGTGATGATGTCAAACCTGGCAGCACCGTGGTTTTTAGTGGAAATGTTTTGAGAGGTTTTTAGAAGTCTCTGGAGACTTAGTTCTGGCATTAATTAGTTGTGTGACTTTGGGGAATGTACCTGTTCCTGGACCTCAGTTTTCCCATCTGCAAAAGGAAACAGAGTTTCACTTCTAGCTCTTGATGGCCCATATTGTGCGATTCTTTTCTCCTTTAAGCAGTGGCTGGGGTCGCAACAGATAACTATTCTAGAAATGATTTTGGCCTTTTCAGGTGGAAAAATGAAACTTGTTTCTTCTCTGCTCAGTTCAGGTACACTTGTTCATCTTGCATCCTTACTCATCTTTTGCCACTACTTCTGTCTCCCCAGAGAAGTTAACCTGACCAGGTTACCCTTGGGGGTATGTGTGGATGATGATGGCACTTAGACCTGTTTGCTGCAAAGAGATGGATGTTTAGGGGGCTATGGACTGATTCCTGTCACCTGTGTATTCCATTGTTCTGTGCTTAGTTCAGCTCTGAACAGAGTTATGCTGAGGAATCCTTGAGCTCACTCAGGATTAGATTCCTCTACCCTTTACTTCTCAGTCCCTGTTTTGTATCTTTTAAATAGTAATCTCTAGCCTACTTGGGGGACTTAGTCTTTGATGACTCCAATGTTCCATACCTTACCTATGGCTCTTCCTGGGAAGCATAAATGTGTGGATTTTAAAGAGTTGATGTGAGTCCTTAAAAATTCACAAAGATGGTGGAAAACAATTTTCTCACTTGGTTGCAGCAATGAGTAATGATAGTAAGTATGGTTAATATTATCTTACATTTATTTACTACTTTACTGTTTATTTGAAGGAATTTTTGCATACATTTTCTTATTAAGGTTAAGAAAAGTTTCTTAGAAAGGTTTGAGCCTGAACAAAGAGATGTTAAACTGTTTCCTGTGATTACGTATATTCCAAAGGGGAGATACTAAATATCAAGAAATGCTTTGGCAAGTCAGTTAGCTGAATTAGGCTACATTATGGCAGTAAATTCGATGGAGATCACAGGGCCTCATAAGGGAAGGGAGACATTAGCTGAAATAAAAGGGAGAACTTAGCAGAAGCATTTCTCATGTGTGCCTCCCAACAGAATGACTCAGTTTTGGCTTTATAGAAAGGCCTTGTTCCTCAGAGTCAATGTAGGTTTTTCTATAAGAAGGATGGTATTGCTTTAGGCTGGAAAATAGAAGAGGTGGAGGGAAGTTGATTAGTCTCCCCACCTCCCATTTTGTAGTCTGTAAAACATTTAATTCTCAAAACCTTGTCACACAGACTCTCCCCTTAGCCACGTTGCCAGCTTTAGAAGCATTAGGAAGGACAGTTTCTGTGCCCAAGTCCTGTTCTTGATTAATAATCCTGGTGTCATGTTTCTTTTTGGTCTTGTTTGATTTCTCAAAAGCCCTGTGACTGTAGACTGATATAGGTTTGTATGAATGAATAAGCATCACCTCACATCTAAATTCAAGCTGGATCCTCAAGCAGGATTAGTAAGCAGCACCATCGTTAAACTCCTTGCTGAATATCAGTAACATTACCAATTTCACCAATAAGTATTTCTTCAAGCATGACTAGCCCTCCAATACACATTAGTTTGGCAGGTGTGGGTGACAGGAGATGAATTTACTGAGTGGTCATGCTGTTTACCAGAAATCACACAGCCAAGTTAGTGGCAGAGGTGGCTGAAGAACTGAGCTGCGGCAGTGGGAATTGGGGCTTTAGCAGAAAGAGATTCTCATACCTATTTAAGCCCTAAAATCTACAATTTCTCAGTAGAAGGGTTAAAATGCCAGACAACCTGACTGATTGTATCTGTAAAGACCAGTAGTCTTAGTGGCCCCTTATCTCTCTTATGTATGTACAGTTATATTGTCTCTGCCTTAGAAACTTAACAAAAAAAAATCCATTTTGAATGTGTTGTCTAATTGTCCAATTCCTGTTGCTTCTGTATGTGTCTGTGTCAACATCTCCTGATGGGGCAATGAACTTAGTGAGACACAGTGAGTGCATTTAACCCTCAAGGTTATATGTACAGAAGTCAGGCTGGGTTAGGCTGGACATTTGGCACATAATAATTGACGCTATCATTTGCTTAATCCCAAGCCACTGGTTTTTAGCCAGTAATATTGAGTGAGCCCCATTTTTTTTAGAGTTGTCATTTGTTATTTGATTTTCTGTCTTCTTTACAGTATATTAGAAGTCTGACTTCCACCAAATATGACTTACCTGCTTTTGGTTCATCATTTGATTTCCTTACTTTCTCGAACCACCTTGCTGAAAGTATAGAATGGCACATACTCAAAACAGTCCTGATCTTTTTGTGACACCTTTTGGAAGTAGCTGAATATACACCAGTGTGCTCCATTTGCTCTGTGATGGATTTGTTTTACAGAAAACCTCATGGATTTGAGAACTAGTATTTTTTGTGTGTGCCCACCCCTTCTTCTTGACTTCAAACCAGCCATACCTCTTCATCCCCATCTGTTGTCTGGAGCATGAATAACGGCTCCTGCTTGGAATTTACGTCGGTGGGTAATGGGTACAATGAGGGATCCGGCCATCTGCTGACAGCTTATCAGAGGACTGTGTCCTGTGTCATCAGTCTAGGGGGACACAAAGGGATGATGTTTATATGGGCCTCAGCAGTGAGGCTTGACATTCTTTTTTAGTTTCTTTTATTTTTCCCACATGGAAATTTGCAGAGAATTTTACATCTTTCAGTGTTATGGTCTTTTGGGAGCATCCATTATAAAGAGAAATGTTGTGGATTGGTGGATGACACAGCCCAGAGACAGCCCTGGGATTTAAAATTATTACACTAGTTGAGCTCATTGCTTGCTAGGGAACCTGGGCAAATTATTTAACCTTTTCCTATGCCTATCGTCTCTGTGAAAGGAGCCTGTAGCAAACAAAGCATTTTAATCCCCTGAATAACTATGTGGTCACTTAAACAGAGAAATTGGACAAAGCTGATCAAAGCTGGCAGATGACTAATATGTTTTGACCTCAGACTCAGAAACTGACAAACCTCAATTCCTTTTCACTTTTCTTTTTTTTAACAAAGCTTTTATTTATTTTTAGAGAGAGGGGAGGGGAGGAAGAAGGAGAGGGAGAGAAACTTG